TGAAAGTTTCTGCAGGAAAATTATTAACTCCGCAACCAGAACAGCTGGAAGGCTGAAATTTTAGGCTTGATGTTCCCTGTCCATAGTGCAATTTAAAAATTTATATGTGAAATCACCAGCTAACATTACTCATGAAATCACCTGGACTGCCGCTGTGAGGCTCCGACATCCCAGGGCGTTCTATGGGATACGCTTGCTCTGCATGCTTCTACAAAGCGGCACCCAAATGCAAAACCCTTAATCCTTTTATTTTCAGTTCACTACTCGACTACGTATGCAAGCCATTTTTTTCAAAAGCCAGTAGGGTTGGCGTCCTCCTTTCTTACTGCAACAACTGTTCCAAGTCAGAAGATACGTCCCATCTGACAAATTTAAAACGTTTCAATGTTACAAGGATAGATATTCTACAAACTACCCACTTATTTGTAAGTATGATTTCTATATAAAAATAATTGGCCAACGCACGGGCGGCCCGTGCGAAAATGCGTTTTTTGCATAGTTCCCCGCAGTTTTTGTTACTACCGGCAATGCTTTTTCGGCAAATGCTTCAAGCTAAACAAATTAAGACTGGCCGCCAGAACTGTCAGAAAACACCCCCTTAAAATTTCAACTTTCCAGCTTCCATGGCTCTTGAGTTAGCAACTTAATGGAAAAAAATTTTCATGGGCCCGTGCGTGTTTATCACGCACACCCAAGAGGTAGGTTTGAGCTGAATGAAACTTAAGTGGACGGGGTATATACTCTTAAAATTACAGTCCTTTAGCTTCTGAGGTACTCGGGTTATTAACTTGCCCGAAAAAAATTTTGGCGGGCCCGTACGCGGGCACCATGCGGGTAATGGCGCCAATTTTGGGGATTGGGGCCAATCAAGTTCCCAAAGTTTCAGCCCTGTAGCTTTTGCGGGTCTTGAGATGAAAAACCGTGACAGACGCACACACGGACACACACACACACACACACAGACAACCCCTCATCAATATGTGTTTTCTGCATTGCATAGCTGCAAAAAACGCA